TCCCCATACCCCCTCCACCCAGGCCCCCTCCACCCAGGCCCCCACCATTTCACACACAGCCCCAGACCACGGGCAGGACCTCATGCCGGGGAACCCTCTAGGGTCCAGTTCAGCTCACACGGATGCTATCACCGGGCCCGGCAGCACGCCCCGTGTCTCTGTGGCCCCCAGCAGGGAGCCAGTGGCCACAGGCAGCTGGGCCCCCACGCCCAAGAACCCCCAGAGGCTGGGCATCCTCAGCACTCCCGTCACCGAGGCCACCCGGAGGCAGGCGGTGGGGCTGCTGGCCTTCCTCGGCCTCCTCTTCTGCCTGGGGGTGGCCATGTTCACCTATCAGAGGCTCCAGGGCTGTCCCCGCAGCGCGGTGGGGGACATGGTGGAGGGGCTTCGCTACGTCCCCCGGGGCTGCGGCAGCAACTCATATGTCCTGGTGCCAGTGTGAGCGGCCCACCTGCCTGTGTCCAGATGTTCCACTCAAACAGCTGCCGGGGGTCCCCCATCCTCACTCCTCCCCTCCCCCAAGGGCCTGGCCCAAGCTGGGATGATGGAAGCAGGGAGGCAGGACCCCCCAGGGGGGACTGTCCCCAACTCCTGGCAGACACAGGAGGCCCCTTGGCCATCCATGACCTGCTGGAGGCAGAGGGGGTGGCCTCCGAAACTCACCCCAATGCCCCCCAAGTCGGAGAACTCTTTTGCTGCTGGCTGCTTAAAGGTTCCCTTTGACACCGTCCCAGCCCCATCGAACGATTATTTATTGAAGTCTCAGCCCCTCCGGCCCGTGTCCGCCTGTAGGTACCACGGTCGTCCCTCTCACAAATGCGTCTCGGCCAGGCCCTTCTGCACACTCCCTCCGACCTCATCGCGTCTTGTGGTCCCGCTGCAGTCGCCAGTCACCCGGCCGCCTGCGGTGCTAGCCCCCCCACCCCCTGTACAGAGCCCACGCCCTAGCCGGGACCTGTCTTTTCCTGCATGAGGCGGGCGTGGTGTCTGCTGGCGCTGCTCTCAGCGAAGGCTCAGCCGATTAGGCTCTGTGGGAACCGGAGACGAAGTGGCCTGGCTGTTTAGACTGCTTCCCTCCTCCGTCTGTGCTGAGCAGGGAGGGGACATTGACTCTGAACGTGAAGCCCGGGGTTCTAGGCCCAGGCCCACCACCAACCTGACGAGGCATCCGCCCCTCTGGCTTCCCATCTGTGGAAGGACACAAGGACTGCAAATATGTGGCAATGACCTGTACCCCGACGGGCATCCCTACGTGGCCCAGAGACCCCTGTCCCCAGATCCTGGGGACAGCTTCACCGTCCGCCATCAACAGAGCACCTTAGCCAGTCTCCACCAGCCAGGGAGGCAGGCCCCGCCCTGTGACCCAGAGGGCCCGGCAGCCCAGCCCTGACCTGTTGGAGGGGGTCAGCACTGTGGGCCCCAGAGTGGGGGCTGGGCTGCGGTACTTGGGGGGACAGAGACCAATTTTAAAGGCCCCTTCCTGACTTGGAGAACAGCCCCTTTCTGTGTCCACCAGGAGTACAGGAACACTGAGATGGCCCTGGTGACATGTGACAGGCTGAAGGAGGAGGGGAGCCTGCAGGCTCCGGGGAAGGCTGAGGCACTGCCTGGGAGTGGGGGGGCAGGGCAGGGTCCAGGAAGAAACTGCAGGGAGCAGTCACACTCCCTGTTAGGGACTTGGGTCCAGCTTTTGGTCTTTCTACCTGCAGCCCGGGCTCCCCAGCCACCTCTCTGGCTCCCTGTCCGCACGCTATCTCCTCCCCTCACCTTTGCCCCCACGGCAGGCAGGGCCAGGAGTGTCCGTGACGTTTCCCACGAGCTCAGAATCCACTGCTGACACCCGAGGTTCCGTGTTTATTCTGAAGGAACTCTGCCCTGTGGGGAGGGACCCGAGAGGGGAGGGAATAGTGTGTGCGGGTGGGGGGTGGGGAGGGGGGTTAAGGGGTTCCTTTTGGCCGCTGAGGATGCAGGGAGGCCTGGGTGAGGCTGGCAGCTGTGGCTGGCCAGCACCCCACCCAGAGCTGGACCTGCAGCGCCCCCCTCCTCAGGGTCCCTGATGGCAGCTCCCCACCTCCCTCTGATTGTCCCCAAGGCTGACCCTTGCCCTCCAGCTGAGAAGCCTCCCAGGGGTGGGGCTCCCTCCAGGTACAGGTGACACATCCCTTTACAGACGGATGCTCAGAGGGAGCAGGCACAGCTCTGGTCCATAAGGGAGGGCCGGGCCCGCCCGCACCCCCCTGCTGGACATGGCACCCCCTGATTGGGCCTGGCTTGAGTCGGGGCCACTTTTGGGAAAACAGCAGGTCTGAATGCACTTTTACGGGCTCCTCCCAGCTGGGAGCCTTCAAGGGGAGGGGCACCCATGATGGGGTTCCCCTCCTTTGTCAGAAAGCAGCTGGGGCAGCTGGTCCCCTTCCCACGGACCTAGTTAGCTCCTCCGCAACGGGACATGGACAAGGACAATTTGGGGAGGACTTTAGAAGGAGACGGTTGATCCTTTTGCTTTTCCAACCCCATCACCAATGTCTGTGCCATTTTGTATTTTACTAATAAAATGGGAAAGTCTTGTGGATCAAATCGAGGTGCTTTTTCTAGGGGGGGAGGGAGGGCTTAGAGCCTCGGCCGGGATGACACAGGGGAGGGGACAAGTGTCCCTGGTCAGTCCCGGAGACCCCTGTCTCCAGTCCCCGTGGGGCACGGCGGCAGGTACTTTAACAGTCAGCCCCGGAAGGGGCGCTGGGGACAGGGGTGAGGAGGGTGGAGCCCTGGCCTGGTTCTGCTGTGCACAGCTGCGTGACGCTGGGCAGTGCCTTCGCCTGTCTGCGCCTGTGCAGATGCCGGTGCGAGGCCGCTTTGGGTGGCTTCCATCCCTGGCGGGGATCAGAACCCATTATGAGGCAGCACCCATGTCCCCACCCCCACCCCCAGCCACATGCCTACTGAACCGCCATCCTGGTGACCTGGTTGGCGTCAGAGGCGCTGCCATGAACAGCTGTGTAGGTTGGAAACTGCACGAGGTGCCCCAGGCCGACTCCAGCCTCTGGATACACAGCATTTCACGGGTCCTGAGACACACATTTTTTCACATTGTGACATCTCTGGGATTAAGATTAGTCCTATAGTCCATGGCTTGTCATCATTTAATGAACAGGTCTCTCTTTCCTCATTAGTTCATCAAATATCAGAATGTCTTACAATCAATGGCATCTTAGATCCTATGTCTATGTGAGGTTTTTAAAACTTAGAGCCCTGCCTGTGTGGCTCAGTGGTTGAGCAACAACCTATGAACCAAGAGGTCACGGTTCCATTCCCAGTCAGGGCACATGATCCCCAGTAGGGGGCGTGCAGGAGGCAGCTGATCAACCATTCTCTCTTCACTGATGTTTCTATCCCTTTCTCCCTCTCCCTTCCTCTCTGAAATCAATTTTAAAAAATTAAAAGTAGAGGCAACATGCAAAAATTTGGAAATTACACACTTAAACCGACTTTTCTAGCTTCTCTCAGGTGACTCAAAAGGTCTGCCCTCCACACAATGGACTAATGGACGGTAACTAGGGCGGAGCCTGAACAGCAGCCGCCCCTTGAGATGGGGCCTGCCAGGGTGGCCCTAGGTCTCTACCATCCCCTCCACCTCAAAGACATTCCACCTGCTCTGCCCACTGCCACCCCCAGGAAGGAGCTCTGCCCCAGGCAGGGTCCAGCCCCCCCAACCTCTCCCCAACACACCCTTCCAGCAACAGGAAACACCAGCAGAGGCTCTGAAATGAAGATATTTGTCCCTGTCTTCTCATCACATGCTTAAGGAAGAGGCTGGCTCGGGGGAGTGTGCCTTCTGGCTCAGTCCCTTCCCCAGGGATCCTGAGGTATTTGTGATTAATTTCCTCTTTCATTCACTGAGCTAAACGTTAGCTGACACGACTTCCACAATTAACACAGAGTTTGATGGAGAGTTGGGGCCTCTGAAATCTTTGCCATGACTATCGGGGCTCTGAGATAAAGGAGAATAATAAAAATAGCCATTGTTTGTTTCCTGTTCACTATGGGCCAGGCAATGTCCTAAATTCTTTTTTTTTTTTTTAATACTTTTTTTTACTGATCTCTGAGTGGAAAGCAGAGGGAGAGACAGAAACATCGACGGTGAGAGAGAATCATTGATCAGCTGCCTCCTGCACGCCCCCTACTGGGGATGAAGCCCACCACCTGGGCACGTGCCCTGACTGGGAATCGAACTGTGACCTCCTGGTTCATAGGTCAATGCCCAGCCCACACAGGCTGGGCTGTGCTAAATGCTTTATGTACGAGGGTCCCCATCGTACCGATGACTCGAAGTAAAGCTCTCGAAGGATATGTTCCTTGCCCAAAGGTCAGCCTGCCTGTCTGCAGCCAAGCTAGGATATCGACACCATTATGATTAGCTAGTTATTAATAATAGGAAAGGAGCGAAGGGAAGGCCAGTTGTTATAGGCATGTTCCCTGGGGGGAGGGCACTGGGCAAAGGGAAGATAAACACACGCCCAGGAAAGTCGGGGTGGCCTAGGGCTTACTGTCAGTCACACCTGGGAGCAGAAGCCACTGCAAACCCTCAATACTCAGCCCCCAAACAAAGGAGTTTGCTCTCTTAGGACTCGTGTGACCCTGGGCTTGTGAGCTCTTTTGCTCCTGCTTCCCTGCATTTGCCCACAGGCCCACGGCCACATGGGCCCCACCCACAGTGGACTAACGGGCGGTAACTAGCCTGGTGCCGGACTGGACCTGGCTCCAACACGGAAAGGAAGCAGGACCCCGGCGTTGCCTCCAGCTCCCCTGAAGCCCCCGCAGCCCTTCCAGGACGGGACTAAGGGGAATGGGGCTTTGGAAGCCCAGGGGCGTCATTCCACGGAAATAAAGCTTTCTCCCAAATCTCATCCTCCACAGGGACCCCCGGGAAGGTTATTCCAGCGGCACCCCAGAGCCTCACTCCCCCTAGCGACGGGGAAAGACGGGGCATGTTCTTCTCCCGTAACAGTGTGACCCGAAGTCCTCCTCCAGACCTGGAATCCTCATCACTGTTTCTGAGAGTGTGAGCCACTCATTCCTGAACGTACAGACCCCTATGTCTCTCTTCCTCTCCTTTCCTCTCTGAAATCAATACAAATATATATATTTTTAAAAAGTACAGACCCCGAGTCCCATTTCAGACCTACTGAACTCAGACTGCAGGGCGGGGCAGGCTGGGAATCTGCACCTTCAAGCTCTTGCCTCCGTCCCCACCTGCTCCCTCTTCTCTCTCCCTGCCTCCGCCCTGCACTGCCCTCCACATGAGGAGATTGGTGGCAAGCCGAGGTGTTAGAGCCCCTGCACCAGGTCACCCCACTCCCACCTGCCCACGGTTTGCAGTCCTTTCAGCAGCAGCTCCCTACATCCTTTTCATTCTCTGCCCTTTGACGTTAGTAC